TGAAATCTAAATACAATCTTTGACAATTCCAACAAAATAAGTGGTGTGTTTAAAAAATAAAGCTGATGAACAATAGATCCATTCTATATATTTTCTTTCAACAGTTCCAGAATGAGAAATAGCACAGTATTTTAAAGAAGTATATAGCAAAGATTGTTCCTATTGTAATGACAAAACCTGGAAACTGTAAACACAGTTGTTGAACAGTCAAATGGTCATATTCCTAGTTAAGAAAGTGTTACAGTGAGAACAGTCTACAGTCCAGTTATCCTTAGTTGTCAACAGAGAACGCTTTTACTTGTCAGTTGGTTTCATAGTTCTTTTTCCAAAAGACAGCAAAACTTTGGCAATCGGATGTATTGAAAATATACTTTCGGGGTTGAAGACACAGTCCTAGAGTCTTTGTGTGAAAGGTGATCTGTACACCAAGGGTCACAGTTTGGTGGAGGTTCTACGTGGAGAAGTGCAAATGTCCTGCACAGACAGCTTACAGAGGTACTGGTCGTGAGTCAGCAGCAGAATCTTCGGTTTCCTTTGCATAGCTCACACATCACTGGAATGTGGAAAGGTGTGCTATTTTTTGGCAAGAGCAGAGATATTATACTGATGTCAATTACCATGTTGGGCATGTGGACTCCATGCAGAACCCCATGAGGGCTGCTACCTGACATCATTGGTTTTTGTATACTGGTTTTGTTTTTGTTGAAGCAGTTCTGTTATAGCCAGAAGTTTTTTCAATACATGCTAGACAAAAAGAAATGCAATGGGAAAATAATTAGTAAATAAATGAAAGCATGACTTGAAATTCCAGGATGAGAACCTGGATATGAAAAAAAGCCCTGTCAAAGAAACTCGTGAAATAATACTAGCATTCTACGCAAATTTGTGAGTTTATATTCGATCTTGACTGCGTTTTTGGTTGTAGCCAAGATAAAGATATTTTTGCACTGAAGTGAATAGAAACTCATTTGTGGGGCTGGGGATTTAGCTCAGTGGTTCTGCTGCCTGCCTCAAAGGCACAAGGTCCTGAGTTCGATCCCCGGTACCAAAAAAAAAACAAACAAACTCATTTGTGTTTTGCATTCTCCTCTAACCAAAACATCTCTAGGACAGATCATCTTACTGGAAGACAGATTTGTCCTTACAAACCTAGAGTTAAATGAATTAGAAATTTCTTAGGAGACTGGAACTCTAATAAGCAACACTATTATGTAAGAGAGTGGGGGGGGGGGGTGCTTATAGGATTCCAGAGGACTCCGTCACCAAACTCAGCATTTTAATGTCTTTTGGGAAATCCTGCCAAATGCATAGCCAGTTCATGATAACATTCACTTTTCTTGATCGTGAAACCTAAGGCCATTCAACACATGGTTCATTTTATTCTCATCCATCTCTGATAACTCAACTGATGACCTAAAAACATCCTAATCTGTATCTATTGGCCTAGATAGCAGAAGTCTACTAATAGCAACTAGTGTGTCTTAAGAGTTGGAGTTATAATCCACTTGGATCTGAATCCCTGTAAGCGATTGTTAGAAGTCTGTGGAGAAGGAGCTTGAAATACGTATTTTTACCAAACTTCACAAATAATTGTCATGTGTATCGATTTCAGAATCACTTTGGCTATGCACTCCGTGTATGAGACAGTATGTGAAAAACAAAACCAGTACTCCCCTACTTAATGCTCACCTGTCATTTATACATACGCTGTTAAAATGTATGAGCACCATCATTTTCCAGCCGAGTTAACATGCGATTTGACATTCTGCAGTATCAAGGGCACATCATCTTAATCTGGGCCCTTTAGTTTTGGTTTTTGGAGAAAGGCTGCGCTATGTAGTTCAGGCTGGTCTTGAACTCACTGTGTAGGTAGGCTGGCCTGGAAATTGAGGCAGTATTCCTGCCTTAGCCTCCTGAGTGCTGGGACTGCAGGCGTGTGCCACCATACTGTCAGTGGGCCCTTTGGCTTACATCTTTCTGCATTATGATTCAGATTTTTTTTTTTTTTTTTTTTTTTTTTGCTAACAGGGATTGAACTCAGGACCTTGAGCTTGCGAGGCAGGCGCTGGCATCACTGAGCTAAATCCCCAGCCCGACTCAGATTGTTAAAGGTATAATATAACCGATAAAATGCTGATCAGATCTGAGCTATGAATTTACATCTCAGAGTCTTAACTGACATCCTGTGTTACGTGCTAACGAAACCTCTTTGTTAATGAACGGCTAGTAAAAACCTACCTGCTGTGCACCGCGCTCATTACTGAGTGTCCGCAGTTCATCTGAATGGGCCACACGGATCTCATGCAGTGCTGCTAAATCACGGGACAGATCAGTTCTAGAATGTTCTGTAGTGTCCGGAAGTTCAGGTACATTCTTTAAGGAAATCATAAAACTGCATTTAGATATACAAGTCTTTATGGTCTCTTCTGAAATGAGTCTAAGGGGATACATCAGAATTTTAACATATTCTTTTAAAATTTGATGTATTTGAAATTTTTCCCTTAAAATTCTAAGGATTCTTATTGAAATATAATGTGTAAAAAGTTCCAATATGGTTTTATAATTTCTGTAGTCACATGAGGGCCAGGTTCCGTTTTCTTCACAGCATGTTAGAATACAGCATAATGCTGCTACTCTAAAACATACGACAAATAATACAGATATTAACTGCTAATCTGGATTAAATGCAATTTAAACTTAAAATTCCTAGACTGAATTTCATTAAGCTAGTGGTAGTTTGTCCAAATTCATCAAGATAACTATGTTAACAAAGGATGATGCTCAAAACAATTGCTGTGAGAGAACAGTCAATTTAATATGGGCTTGGATTACTGAAAACTATAAATCTAGTCATCTACTTAATGATTTATTCATACCTAAAAATTGGAAAATTCTGGTGTTTATGGTATAGAGAAGCATTAAGCAGAATACATTCTTACACAGTTATTCATTTGTTCATCAATGACTAAAGGATTATAGAAATGATATGCAACTTTTTTCCCATTCTCCCCTGTCCCCTCAAGCATTAAGCATTTGCCTTAAGAGGGCTTATAGTTTGGTAGAAAAGAACAGAAATGTAAACCAATCATAGCAACACAGTTACAGCTATACAGGGAAAACACAGGAAGCAGAACAGTCTTCAAAGATGAATTGATTTATGTAGGTAGTGAATGAACAAAAGGAGACTGGAGGTGTATTAGGATGTGTAGATTGTAAGCAGCTTTGAAACGCTAGTTTTTGTAGTATAACCATGAATAACAGAAAAGCTAAAGCCTATACAACCTAAGAAAAATCCACCTTAAACAGTAGGCACACATTTCTCAATCAGACCCTTAAACATTATTATAGCAAGAAAAAAAGTTCTCTAATCACTGACCAACTATATTTTTCTGATATTTAGAAATATTCATATAAAAATGTCCCAGGAGTTCATACTCTTAATAAGATTGCAACCTCGGGAGCGCACAGGTCGTCCTGATTTGCTGGCTGCCGTGGTGTGGTGCTGCTAACCTGTGCCTTTAGCTGAATCTGAATGCATCAGAGCAGAATGTGGACTTCCCTTTCCTACCTAGTCATACACCTAGATCGATTTACACATTACACGACTTTCTGGTTTCTGTCTCTCTAAGCTAAATTACTAATACCAATAGTTGAAAACTGACACAATCTCTGAAACATCTCTACCATGTAGAAAATTTAACTTTACCAAGAAACTGGATTTAAAATTTTTTATTTCATATTTAAACTTTGTGATCACTATTTTATTATTTATAAAAGGCATACGTGAGGTATGGGTAGTCACCTGAATGAGGCAAATCACCAAATGCATGTATTTGATTCCTAGAACAGCCATCAGGGCACTCGTTTTATTTACTTGTTTAACTGAGTCAGAACTGTGGGTTATCCATCTTGGTTCAAATCCTATAGTAGATGCAAAGTAAAAGCTAAGGAGTCCTCAGAATGTCACAGATGGACTAGCTAAGGCAAGATGGAATTTAGGAAGTTATACAGATAGTTGAAAAGCCACAACAGTGTCGTTGGTATAAATCACTTGGTGTAAGAATAAATGGTTCTAACTACAAACAAATTAAATTTTTGTTCAGAAAGGTAGATTTTTAAAAAGTTTCTGAAGATTGTTACTTAAATCAGTTACCTGAGATATACTACAGGTTTCTTAAACATTTGAAAATAATATACATACCCCAAGTTCATCTAAAAACATGATCATACGATGTTTATTGCTCTTGATGAATGGGTTCACACCTTCCATATAAGGCTCCTAAGAAAATAAAAATAAAATGCTTATATGTACAATAAATAGTTGTCTATAGCAAAAATCACACATATGTAGCAAGGATTCCAGTTAATAAGAATGTAATCACATGCTACTATTTTCCTTATAATATAAACAGCTATCATGAGGAACTGAGGCATTTTAAGTGAAAGAATGAGAAATTCTGGACCAAAACACAAATTACAGCATAGCTTGGCAGATACACTGAAAAACTCCAGAAGATGGAGACATGAGTCTTAAAAGGAATGAAATAATGAAACACAAGTTTTGGCAAGGTTATGAGGAGAAAAAAAAATTGCTGATAGGCAGTCATACTCAGCCAAAGCCTAAAATACTTAATTAGTAACCCTGCTCCAAAGTTTAGGGAATGGAAGTATGAAACAAGGTGTACCAAAGGATCCTTGCTACAGCAATAACAATATCAAAAGAGAACCCCTCTAAATATCCAGTAGAGGATGACTGGACA